ATTAGTGTATTTGGAAATGACATTTGACACTATTTTTTGGCTTTTTTGGTCCACATTTTGGGTCTTTTAAACAATATCCTTAGTTTCTAGAAGTAAACATGTTAGCGTTGGAACATTAGACATATTATAGATAATGTTGAAAAATGTATTACCGGCTTAGTGGAGAGTCTTAGTGTGGTACTGTAGGATATGCATGGGATTGCTAATTACAAGGTCAGAGGTTCAAACCCATCAACCACTCCTTGGAAATCCTATATGGGGTCACAGTGTTGTTGTTGTTAGGTGCTATCGAGTTGGTTCCAACCCATAGCAATCCTATATAGCATTTCTGAGGAGGAGCTGGTGTGCTTGAACCACTGACTTGTGGTGCAAACCAAATTTGCAGTTCAGCACATTAGCCTACAGTGCCACACCAGGACTGTAGTCATAGTGTAGGAAACCCTGTACTATGATACTTAAAAACAAATAACACCAACACTGCTCTAGCTAACCATCGTGCTAAATTTTCCCTGATTACTTTTTATATTCGTACAAATGGAGTCTTGAGATAAAATTTGTGGGGAAAGTATATAAAGTATTTAACAACAATTTACTAATTGATGGCATTTAATTTACAGATACAATTTTTGAAGTGTTCATGTCTACATATATTGTATTTTATCAAGTTATTATTTTACTTCCAGAGTGTCTTGTCCATAGTTGTTTCTTTTATTTTTTAACCCTCGGGATAACTTTATAAACTGATGACCTATCTATAAGTTGCATGTACGAGTTGCAAAAAATGTATTCCCTTTATTTGTTCTAAGTATTTTTCTGAATATACTTGCAACAGTGAGTCAGTTTCATACTTTTGTCAGAGTTCTGGTTGATTTTCATCAGTTATATTCTGACGTTCAAGACATGCTTCTGGTGAAGAAAAAAAAATCAATTTACTTGTCCATTTGGTAATAATATATTCTAAAATGTTAGCATTTTATTTCAAAATTCTAAGTTTATTTTCTGATGAGCATTTGAGGAGTGTCTGGTTTATAAGGTTCACTTTTAGTTTCTAAATCCCATAGGAATATAGGTAATACTAATGCTAGTCCCTTCTGATACCAACATGCTTATCAAAATCATTTATCAAAACCTTCTCTTACTCCGGTCCCTTGTACATCCTTTAGTTCTTATTTCAGTATCATAAAGATCATCTCATAGCACACCATGTTATGCTTTAAAAAACATTTTATTGATAAGGAAGCAAGTACAGATTATTATATTAGGTATAGTAGCTTTAGGGCTCATTCTTCTGAGGTTGTGAGGAAGATTTGGAAATATTGGTGTTAGTTCGGGAAAACACCTTTGACAGAGCTGAAGATACCCTCGCCAGCATTTTAGATCCTTGTTTGGAAGCGCTAGACTTGGGAGGTTCTGTGGACAAACAAAAAAAAAGAATATACACATTTATTAGATATTTTAATTGAATCAGCAATACTAAAGCAACAATGATTTATAATTCAAAAATAGACACTTAATTGAGAATTTGTGGGTTTTAAAGAACATGCACAAAAAATGTTTTGATTTGATGCTTCCAAGACTTCTGTGAAGGAAACAAGTGGAATGCTGTCTCTACTTGTCGACATTGGAGTTTGGTGAAGTCAAATATCTTGTTTCTGGTAATGTGAGTAGAAATTGGCCAAGGCTGTACTCTTTACAAAAGTAGACTGTCCAATCTTTCTCTCAGGAAGCAAATAGGGTGGGTCTGAAGCACTGAGCTTTTGATTAGCAGCTGAGTGCTTAACCATTATGTCATAGGGTTCCTTAAAACTGAGATAACAGATAGCAAATTTAACCATAAATAGAATGAAAAACAAAAGTTTGTTTAGCTTTTTAAAGGGACTGCTACTTTAAAAAAAAAGAACAAACTTTTTTTTTTTTTTTTTTTAACCTTCAAATTTTTATTGGACACCAAAATCAGGAAAATCCCACACAAAAGCAGCACACATTTTGTTTTTTAAGGTGGTGATTCTTAATGTAAGAGCTGCCCAATTGTCTGTGTTTGCTGAAATGACAGCTCATAATATTAAGAAAGATGAAGTCAATATAAAAGTTATTTACATGAATTTTAGTAATACCTCTTTTAAGACAGTCCACCAGATAACACAGTGTAATGCTATTTACTATATGGACAAAAGAAAGGCAAGGAGAAAAGGAGCATTTTTCATGGTTCTTCATTTATTTCATCAATTAGAACACACAAGGCTGTATCCTTCTCTATAATCTGGTCTCTCCTATGATCAAAACTTTATGTTTGTCAATAGAAAGCTTCTTTTGCTTTTTATTTGTTTAGCCATAAACAATTTAAAAAGTTAAAGCTTGTTTAGCTTTTTAAAAGGGGAATTACTTTTTTAAATCAAGAACCTAGCAAGTAAAAGACCTAAATAGTAAAAAATATAGAACTCAAAATCTGTAATAGCAAAGACAAATTTACATGAGTAAGAGACGTAAAGTGTAAAACAAAAATTTTAGTAATAGGATTAAGGAATTGTTGAAAGACCATATTATGAAATTTTTATTGAAGGAGGAAATTTAAGCTCTATTATTAAAACATGGGGATTCTATTAAAAAGACAGATTCCAGGTGACTATTTACAAGAGATGCTAACAGAACCAGTCTGAAAAAGGTTCAGGATCTGTATCGTTAACAAGTATTTTAGGTAATTCTGAGGTAAGGCATCCCTGAACAAACACTAAGGACACTGTTCTAAATCAGTGTTATTTTGTTATAATACAATAACAACCGTCATCGAGTTGGTTCTGACTTATAGAAACCCTGTATAGGATTTCTGAGGAACACCTGGTGGGCTTGAACTAATAACCTTGGTTAGCAGTACAGTGCTTATCCTACAGCACCACATCAAGACTACATATTAGTATTAAATTCCTGAATATAGTTTGAGATTGACAGGTGGCAGATGTCTTAAATTAACAGTACATATAAAACTCATCCCCAGAGAACAAAGTGAACTCTTGTGGCTTCCAGTTAATTTTGTCAAAGCAAAACTACATGTTACACATGGGCACAACCTAACATGTGCATTATTCTCTGATGCAATGGCAACTAGATTGGGCCACAATTTGGAAGGAAGGAAGGAGATAGGATGGCAGGCTGGTTTTGATCTAATTTTGAGCACTGGGCCTGCCATGTTAATTAAAAATGTAACTTTAATTAGATTATTTACCTTTATTTTTTCTTTAAGACATGAAGAAGGAAAATGGTATGGTGCTATATATATAAACAAGTTAGACTCACAAAGTATGTCATAAAACTTTTAATTACTTTCTCATATTTAAACATCAGGACTTTAATTTTTAGTGATTTAAAAATGACAAGTTGTAGTTGATTTTTTTAATAATGTTAAATCACAGAAAACTTTTATCTCAAGTTTCTCTTGAACAATTAGAAGCCCTAGCAACAATCCAGCATGCCAAGTATTGGCATTGAGTAGCAATTTCCTCCTTTAGATGTGACATTCCATCTTTCATGAACCACAAACTCCTGCTCGATATACTAGTGCTGTTTATATTTCATACCTATTGTTTACATTATGTATGATATACATATACTTGAGCGTTTGAACTATGTTCGAGTGGAATGAGATTAGGCTTTGAAGCTACATACATATGTATTTAAGTCCCAACTCCATATCTTACTAGCTGTGGAGTGGCTATGAATAAACTACTATCATCTTCCTTATTACCTCTCTCTTTCTTTCTTAATACTATAAGGATTATCCTTCTTCATAGGGCTAATGTGAAGAAAGCACTTAGAATAAATCCTAGTACATTGTTCCATTTTCTGTTTTCATGGTGGGGTTCAAATAAGAGAATTGCATAATAAATGAAAAACTGCCATCTATATAAATAATAAGTATATTACTGCAATCCAGTACAGGTAGAACTTGGTTTACAAAAGTCAGAAAGTCTGACTTACCAACTCCTGCTTGTCCTTTAGAGTCCTGGTGTGGCACTGTGGGTTAATGTGCCAGACTGCAAAGCCATTTGAACTACAAGGTCGGTGGTTCAAGCTCACAAGTTTCTCTTTGGAAAGAGAAGCCTATACAGGTTACTATGTGTCAGAAGCAACTCAATGGCACTTAACAACTTGTCCTTTAATAGTATGTGAAATTGTCCTTACTTTACAAAAACTGAGCCAAACCTACTGGCAACAATGTCTTCATTATAATCTCTTTCACTTACTGCACCTGCAGATTTTAAATTATTAGAAAGGATTTATACTTTTCTCACACTAAAATAAAAAGAAAGCCAAACTCACTGTTATCAAGTAGATTACAACTTATTTAGACACTATTAAGACAGAGTAGTACTGCTCCATAGAATTTCTAAAGCTGTAACTCTTTAAAGAGGAGCTCTGGTAGCGTAGTGGTTACAAATCGGTCTGTGAACTGCAAGGTCAACAGTTCAAAACTACCAGCTGCTCTGTGGGAGAAAGCTGAGGCTTTCTGCTCTCGTAAAGGTTTACAGCCTCGGAAACCCTCTGCAGGGTCACTATGAGTCAGACCCGACTCCACGACACATAACAACAACAACAACAACAACAACAACAACTTTAAAGATGCAGACTGCCATGCCTTTCTTCCAGAGAGTTACTGGTTGATTCAAACTGGCAAATTTTTGGTTAACAGCCGAGCATTTTAACCACTGTGTCACTAGGGCTCACTTACTTGCTCTAAAATAAAGATAAATAAGGACTGTTTGTACCTGGTTGGAATTCTTTACAAAACATTTTTATTAAATTACAATTTTTATTATGAATTCTGTGAAGGTTTACAGAGCAGATCATCAGTTTTCACTATCATGCACACACTTCCTTTCATCTCAATGACTGCAGTCCCCTCAATGTAACATCTTTGATCCCACTTCCTCCCTGTGCTTCTTGTATCCTTTCCCAACCCGTCTGAATTCTGTCCTTGGGTACATACTGCCCTTTGGGTCTCAAATGGTTGAACATTCTATATTGTGTGTACCTCACTAATGTTGTTTCCTCTGTAGACCTATTACTTGTCTGAACATTGAGCCATGAGATTGAGTTCAGTTCCAGGCCTGAAGGGTGACCAAGGGCCATCCATACTCTCAGGATTTCACAAGTCTCTAGCTTTTCAGTAAGCCTGGGTTTTTTTGTTTGTTTTTGTTTGTTTGTGTGTTTGTGTGTGTGTGTGTGTGTCTGTGTGTGATTTTGAACTCTGTTCCACATTTTCTCTCACTCTATCCAGTAATTTCTAATGTGATCCCTTCAGAGCCTGGTAGTGGTAACCAGGAACAATCTGATGCTTCTGGTCTGCCATTTAAGAATAGATTTCATTTGTAACCTGTGGGTTTCCTGTATTGATAGTAAGTGTGAATGCTGCAAGGGAGGAATGACTTAGTCCTGGAGGATAATTCATCAAAATTTTAAATGTAAGTTATATAGTGGAGAGATTGGTTACACTACTTTTGAAAATGACAGCATATTTTATACCTGAAATGACTTCTGTTGAGGAATGTTCACTGCTAAGAGCATTGTGATGTCCTTCATAGATGGTGAAAAACTGCAAAGACAACATGAAACACTAGCTTAGTCTTTGGTAAACGGTAAACACTAGAGATATCTAGAAGCTTCCCATGAGATGGAACATATTCATTGTACATCAGACATAGTAATATTTATGCTCTGTAGTCTCAAAGAATTATTTTCTGTGACTTAGGCTTATACATTCTACCAGGTATAGAGGCTCTTGTCATGGATGTGGAACTTGGTACCACTAAAGGATGATCTCACAGACTCAGGTATCTTAAGTCACAAAAATGCCAGCTCTTCTGCCTGCTCCCTCCTTCTACTGAATTGTAGTAAGATATAAGTTTAAAATTATTTTATGAGAAGAGATGATGATAAACTCATTGCTGCTTAGTCAGTTCTGACCCATAACAACCCTAAAGGACTAGAGTTGCTCCTTTAGGTTTCTGAGGTTGCAATTCTTTATGGAAGCAACTGATGGGCTCCTTGAATTGCCATTTCAGTTAGTATCTTAATACTTAATCTATGGTACAACTAGAGCTCTTTAGGTAATAATATTGCATTGTGGTTAAGTGCCATGAAGTCGGGTTATGACTCATAGTAATACTATATAGGGTTTCTGAGGAACAGTTGAATTTCCAACCTTGAGATTAGCAATCCAGTGTTTATCCTACAATACCACACCAGGACATGATAAGGACAGTGAAAAAAGTAAGTTCCCTATACCACTTCAATTTTCTTGTATGGGAATCTTATCAATTTTAAGGTCTGGAACAAGAAAGCACCTATGTGAAGCTGGTAAGGGAAGGATGATAGTTCAGGTACTGTTATCGTCACTCTGTAGACCATTATAACCTCTTCAAATACAGGAAATGTGACTGTCCCAGACAGGCACTAAATATTCTGGGGCAAGTAGCTGTACTAAAGTGTAGGTGTGGCACTATAGGATAAACATTGGACTGCAAGGTCAGTGGTTCAAACTCACTAGCTGATCTTCAGAAACCATACACAGGGTTGCTATGAGTCGGAACTGACTCAATAGTATCTCACAACAGCACCTCTGTGGTGCTGGCAGTTAGAAGAAGTGAAAAATCAATGAAGTAAAGCTTAAATCTACAAAACATGAGACAAAGTGTATAGATTGAAGATTCACACATTTACTATAAGCTTTTACTTAATTCCCCAAAAGGACTTGTTATTGTTGTTGTTGTTTGCTGTGGAGTCGGTTCCAACTCATAGGGACCCTGTACAGGGTTTCTGATTATGGGAGCAGAAAGCCTCATCTTTCTCCCTCAGAACAGCTGGCAGTTTCAACCTGCTGACCCTGATGATAGCAGCCGGATTCGTAACCACTACGCTACCAGAGGAAGCTGATATATCATTGTTGTTAGGTGTTGTTAAGTCAGTTCTAATTCATAGAAACTCTATGCACAAGAGAACGAAACACCACTTAACCCAGTTCTATGTATGTTACAATTAAGCTCATTGTTGCTGCCATTGTGCTAATTCAACTCTTTTGGAGGTCTTCTTTTTTTTCACTGATATGCTATTTACCAAACCAATATCCTTCTCCAATGAGTGGTGCTTCCTGATATCATGTGTGAATTATGAAAGAAGTATCTCCATGCTGACTTCTAATGAGCATTCTGAATGTACTTCTCTCAAGTCAGATTTGTTTGTTCTTCTGTTGATTCTTTTATTATTCTTCCCCAACACTATAATTCAAATGCATCAAAATTTCTATGATTTTTCTCATTCAATGTTCAACTTTCACATGCATGTGAGGTAAGTGAAAATACATTGGTTTGGGTAAGGCACACTTAACTCCTCAAACTGATAGTCTTTCATTTTCATTAAGTATATTAAGTCCTCTTGGCATCCAACGAGCAAGGCTGTATTATCTGTATATCACCAGTTGTTAATGAACCTTCCACCAATCCTGATGTCATGTTCTTCTTTATAAAATCCAGGTTCTAAGATAATTGGCTCAGAATATAGAAAGAATAAAGTTGGTTTAAAAACAATTGTGATGCACAAATTTTCTGATTAAAAACCTTTCAGTATCCCCTGCTCTCTTCTGATGACGACCACTAATCGATGTACAGGTTCCTCATGAGTACAATTATGTGTTCTGAAAATATCTATTCTTCACAATGTTGTCCATAGTTTGTCATGAGCCACATAATCAAAAATCTTTGCATTGTCAATAAAGCCCAGGTAAACATCTTTTTGATATATTTTGCTTTCAGTCAGGATCAATCTGAGGTCAGCAATGATATCCCTATTTCCATGTCTTTTTAAAAAAGATGGCTTCAATTTCTGACAGCTTCTTGTTGATGTACTCTGACAACTGTTTTTGAATGATCTTTAGCAAAATTTTACTTGTATCTGATATTAATGATATTATGTGATGATTTCTGAATTCTGTTGAGTCACCTCTCTTTGGAAAGGGCACAATTGGATCTCTTTTAATCAGTTGGCCAGGTAGCTCTCTCCCAAATTTCTTGGCATAGATGAGAAAGCAGTTCCAGCATTGCATCCATTTGTTGAAACAGTTCAATTTGTAGTCTGTAAATTCCTAGAGTCTTGTTTTTTGCTAATGACTTCAGTACAGCTTGAACTTCTTCTTTCAGTACCATCATATACTACCTCTTGATATAGTTGAACATCAACCATTTATTTTTGTTGTAGTGACTCAGTGTAGTCCTTCTATCTTCTTTTGATGTTTTATGCATCATTTAATATTTTGACTATAAAATCCTCAATATCACAAATGGAGGTTTACATTTTTTCTCATATCTATCAATTAAAAAATGCTAAGTGTATTCTTTCCTTTTGGTTTTCTAACTCAAGGCCTTTGCACATTTCATTGCAATATTTCAGTGTCTTCTCGAGCTGCCTTTCAAATTTCTGTTCAACTCTCTTACTTCCTCATTTCTTCCATTCACTCCAGCATCTTTACTTTCAAGAGCATCATTTCAGAGACTCTCCTTTGATTCATTCTTGTCTTTTCTTTCTTTTCTGTTTAATGAGATTTGGTTTCCTCTTGAATGATGTTCCTAATGTCATCCCACAAGTCTTCTGATCTTCATTCATTTATATCTAATGTATGAAATATGCTCTTAAGATTGTCTCTAAATTAAGATGGGATTACTGAAGGTCATTTTTAGCTCTCACAGACATCTTTTAATTTCCTTTAGCCTCAGCTTATGAGCAATAGATGGTCTGTTCTGCAGGCTACTCCAGCCTTAATAGACCTGATGATATGGAGTTTCTCCAATGTTTCTACCTAAAGATGAAGTCCAGCTGATTCCTGCACATTCCATCTGATGATGCCCCTGCTTATAGTCACCTTTTATGTTATTTAAAAAAGATATTTTCAGTAAATATGTCATTGTTCTTACAAAAAATGGTATGCTATCTTCAGCATAATTTCTATTACCAAGGTTGTATTTTCCAACTACTGACCTTTCTCTTTTTTCCCCCAAATTTCAAAATCCAATAACCAGTAACTATCAGTGCATCTTGATTGTATGTTTGATCAGTTTTATACAGAAGAATTTAGTTGGAGTTGTTGTTAACTGCTGTAGAATCAATTCTGACTTATAGCAATCCTATATAGGGGTTCTGAGGAGCGACTAGTGGATTTGAACTGCAGAAGCTGCAGTTAGTAGTCTAGTGCTCAGCCTACTGTGCCACACCAGGACTCTGAAAAAGTTAATTTGTTGTTATTGTTGTTAGGTGCCATTGAGTCGGTACCGGCTCATAGTGCCCTTAGGCACAACAGAACGAAACACTGTCCAATCCTGGGCCAACCTCACTACTGTTGCCACGCTTGAGTCCATCGATGCAGCCACTTTGCCAATCCATCTCATTGGGGGGGTTTCCTCTTTTTCTCTGACCCTCCACCTTACCAAACATGATATCCTTTTTCAGTGACTGGTCCCTTCTGACAATATGTTCAAAGTATGAGAGACGAAATTTGGCCATCTTGGCCTCCAAGGAGCATTCTGACTGCACTTCTTTCAAAACGGATCTATTGGTTCTTTTGGCAGTCCATGGCACTTTCAGTATTCTCCTCCAACACCACAACTCAAAGGCATCAATTCTTCTACGGTGTTCCTTATTCACTGTCCAGCTTTTGCATGCATATGAGGTTATTGAAAATACCATGGCTTGGGTCAGGCACACCTTAGTCCTCAAGCTGACATCTTTGCTCTTCAACACTTCAAAAAGGTCTTCTGCAGCAGATTTGCCTGATGCGATAAGTGGTTTGATTTCTTGACTGCTGCTTCTGTGAGTGTTGATAGTTGATCCAAGAAGAATGAAATCCTTGACAACTTCAATCTTTTCTCCATTGATAAGAGTGTGTTTTATTGCTCCAATGGTGAGGATTTTTGTTTTCTTGACATTGAGATGTAATCCATATCGAAGGCTGTGCTCTTTGATCTTCATCAGTAAATGACTTAAGTCCTGGCAAAGGACATCATGCTTGGTAAAGTGTTGTTGTTGTTAGGTGCCATTGGGTCGCTACCAAGTCATAGTGACCTTATGCACAGCAGAATGAAACATTGCCCAATCCTGTGCCAACCTCACTATCATTGCCATGCTTGAGACCACCAGCAAGATGGATTGGCAAAGTAGCAGCATCAATGGTAAAGTGGAGGGTCAGTCAAAAAGAAGACCCCCCCAATGAAATCCATTGTCAGAGTGGCAGGAGCAATTGGCTCAAGTGTGACAGCAATTGTGAGGATGGTTCAGTACCGGGCAGTTTATTCTGTTGTGCATAGAGTCGTTTTGAGTCAGAACTGACTCTATGGCATTCAACAACAATTTTGAGGACGCAGTTCTTCCCAAATCCTATTTTCAATGCTTTCCAACCTGAAAGGCTCATCACCAACACTATGCCTGGCAATGTTTCATTGTTTTTCATCACGTTTTCATTTTTGTCACTACATCTGACCATGTCCCACTGCTATTTATAAGGTTTTCATTATCTGACCATTCAGAAATAATCTGCCTTTCCTTTTTCCTAGTATGTATTTGTCTGTCAGCTCTGTCCATTTTGGATGACCCTGTTGTTAAATTCTGTCTAGTCAGTTCTGACTTGACATAGTGACCCTGCGTAGGGTTTCTAAGGAGTGGCTGGTGGGTTTGAACTGTTGACCTCACACTTAGTAGTCCAGTGCTTACAGCACCACAACAGGATTCCTGCTGTTGGCATAGTTTCCAGCAAAACGCAAACCACCACATTATGACAAACTGACAGATAAGTCCTGGTTTATCAGATCAGGGAGTCTCAAATCTGGCTCCACATAGAGTCATGTAAGGCATTGTTAAAAAAGTATCAATACTTGGACGCGTTGAGGAATACTTTAATTTTTTTTTCCAAAGATGATTGTATTGTATAGCTAATGTTAAGAACCAGTATTTTAGATTGTCTGTGTTCTGTTGCATTCTTATTATATCTTGTTTTTAAAAGTCCTCGTTCATAAACAAAGAAGCTCTGGTAGCATAGTGGTTACAAATAGGGCTGCTGATCCCACAGTCAGCAATTCGAAACTACCAGCTGTTCCATGGGAGAAAGATGAGGCTTTCTGCTCCCGTAAAGATTTATAGTCTCAGAAACCCTATACAGGGTCACCATGAGTCAGAACCGACCCACGGCACATAACAACAACAACAACAACAAAATACATAAATAGTATCCTAATGGTACTTAGTTATATATTAGGATTTTAAAAAACAGTATATATTAAGAATTCAACAGGGCAGAAACAATCTAAAAAAGGTTCTTAACTTTAGTTGCACAACAAAAACATCTATGGAAATGTTGGGGTTTTTTTTAAGTCCCATACCAATTGTATTCAAATACCTAAGGGTATCCAGGTGTGGATAGTTTTTTAAGAATGGCCCCACACGATTCCTTGTGTAACCAAAGTCAAGACTCCCTGATCCAAAAGCTTCTGCTGAGAATAGATGATGATAGTGTTGTTTGAGATGAACAAGCATACTTCGGTTGAGAATTTCCATTACCTCATTAGCTTCAAGAGTATTTTTTGCTCAATGGGGCATTGTTATAATACAGACTTGAAAGTTTTTTTTTCTTCTTCTTCTTTTTTTTTTTGAAAATTCCAAAATTTTGGTTACCCTGCGGCCTCTTATCCTTTCTCTTGGAAGTTATAGATACTATCTTTGTTCTATTTATGTTGAACAATTTTTTACTGTGACCTGAACATTTTAAATAAATTATGAGACTCTAAGTCCTGTTATTACCACTTGTCTGTCAGTTTGTTGTACTGTGTGGCTTGTGAGTTGCTGTGATTCTGGAAGCTATGCCATAGGTATTTTAAATACCAACAGGGTCAACCATGGAGGGCAGGTTTCAGCTGTTATTCATAGGTTTTTAGTTATTAAATATTCAGAAGTAGTCCATTTCTTCTTCTTCCTAGTCTGTCTTCATTTGGAAATTCAGCTAAAACCTAAGCAATGGTATTTTCAATAATCTCATACGCATGTGAAAGTTGGACAGTGGAATTGATGCATTTGCATTATGGTGTTGGAGGAGACTATTGAAAGTACCATGGATGACACCAAAAGAACAAACAAGTCTGGTTTGAAAGAAGCATAGCCAGGATGCTCCTCAGAAAGCAGGTAGTCAGACTTCGTCTCTAATACTTTGGACATATTGTCAGGAGGGACCAGTCCCTGGAAAAGGATATCATGTTTGGTAAAGTGGAGGTTCAGAGAAAAAGAAGATGACCCCCAATGAGATGGATTTGTACAGCAGCAATGGGCTTAAATGTAGTAATGCTTAAGGTTGGCACAGGACTAGGCAATGTTTTGTATTGTTGTGCATAGAGTTGCTGTAAGTTGGTACTGACTCAAAGGCACCTAACACTACCACCAACAAAGTCCTGTTAAAATCCCCTGGAGAATGCTGATTTTTTTAAATGTTTGTTTAAGTAGGCAATCAACTCATTTAGATTCATTCCATATGTCTTAGCCTATATTCTACTGGATGTGATTCCAATGTAAGTTTGCTTTTCAAAGTCTTTTCAGTGTTTGCACCACTATAACCACCATAATTCAAGTTCTCAAAGCCTATTTACTGTGTAACTTTAGGTCAGCTTCATGCACGTACAGATCAGGGGATATTTTATGAACAGGTTTAGGTTGTATCTTCTCAAGATCCCGCCTCTCTGTGATATCCTTCAGCCTCACTGATTCTCCACAGCCCCCTTTTCTGGCTCTATGACTATGATAGGAGGGCTTTTACCTTTGCGTGCTGTTATATGCTATCTTGTTGTTGTTGTCAGGTGCCATCAAGTCGGAACCGACTCATAGCAACCCCATGCACAGCAGAACGAAACAATGTCTGATCCTGGGCCAACTTCACTACCGCTGCCACCCTTGAGTCCATCAATGATGCCACCTGGCCAATCCATCTCGTTAGAGGTCTTCCTCTTTTTCTCTGACCCTCCACCTTACCCAGCATGACATCCTATCTTACACTTCCATTATTCTGTTTGCATCCAGAGGAAAGTGAGAAGAGAAATCAGAAAAAAGAATGAGAGGTTTGCCCACATTACTGGAATGTGGACCTTTTATTCCAATTCCTCTGAGAGTATTAAGTGCCTTTCTACTGTGGAGCTGTTGAGTAAGTTTGAACTGCCAACCTTCAGGTTAGCAGGCAATCATAAATTGCTAGCAAAACCAGGCACCTATTGCATCCCAATTACATTATATTTAAATATATTTACCTTAACACTGCTTGCATTCTTTAGCATTCGTTCCTGAGAATATTCTGTGGGCAAAACAAAGCATTGGGGAAAAAAAAATTCTGATGTATGCATAATATTGTTACAAATCTTCTCTTAACCATTTTTCACAAAAGAATCATAGGATTTAGGCAGTGATATAGAGTGATACAGAGGCAGTGATCCTTTTTTTTTTTTCCAGTGTACAGACTATGAGAACAAAGATGAACTACTGATTATATTCCTAAAATGCTGTGGCATATTTTAGCTCTTCACTCAGAACTATAAAAGATATAAATGAGATATAGTAGAAGGGTAGGTAGGCTCTGTAACTAAATAGCTACATATTTATGTTCAACTCTCTGAATCCTTACAATCCTGTCTGGCTATTTGTAAAGAGAGGGGTTACACCATAGATAATTTCTAAGGATCCCTTCAGCTCTTATACTGATTGTGCATGTAGATAGCGAGTTAAATTTTTTTAAAAGGGAAAAGGTTTTTAAAATAAAGGACTGTCCGAAAAGAAGGTGCTGACCTTATGAAATAGTTTCTCCTGGTAAAAATCAGGATAGCTTTGACGCACCAACTTGAGATAGCCTGGTAGGTTTGTTACAAAACTAAATATTGCCTGAGTTCCAGTGAGGTGCAATCTACCACTGAAAGAAATTTAGCTCATGGAAATGAACTGATACAGTGAGAGAAGTTTCACAAAGTCTAGTAAGGAGGCAGAAAATATGCTAAAAGTCATAAAACTGATGTTTAGATGTTAGTGTCACCAATCAGTGCTTTGTGAGCAAGGATAAAATAAATCTACCTTCTCTGACTCTCAGTTTCCAAATATATAGAGTGGAAAACATACCATTGACTCTGCCAGGTGAGATGGAAAGCATTTATAAATACATGGAATTGCCTTGTTTATGTTTTTACTTTTTGCATGATTACTGCAAGTGTTGGGTAACACAAACACACAACCCTATTGGGGTCAGAAGACTTAGACTCCAAGCTAGGGATTCAGAGTGACCTAACACAAGTTATTTTCTTATGCTGAGCTTCATTTTCTTCATGTGTATTATTAGGAAATTTGTACTGAATGGCTCCTGGCTGGTTCTAATAGCCTTGATTCTCTAATGCAACACCTTCTATAATGTGTCAGAATATAGCATGTTCATGGAATTCAGACATATGCATTGCTATTATCTGATTTATTTTTTAATGATAAATTGGGAGAATAAATGTCTTTTGTAATTATTTAAAAGGTTGCATGTTTGAAATAGGGCAAACTTTAGTCCTATGGTTTAAGCTTCAAGATCATCTTTAAAGTAGTCTTGACATTTCTACTTCATGTGCATGGTGTCATTGTTAGAATCACATCGATACTCTGATAACTCAACAAATAAAGAAATAAAGGGTCCTAACAAATATCAAATGAATTAGTACTAACAGACAAAACATAGAAAATGAAATCTATCTTAGCCAGATTTTAAGGTGAACCAATAAATTTAGATTTAAGGCTTTGTCTTCATTTTAATAGGGCTCAGTCATGGTAAAAAGAAAAATAATCTGTCAGTGAAATAATTAAATCATAGTAGCAAGGGTACTGACCCACATTTAAACTATCGTTGAAATATGTCTTTATTTTGTTAATATTTTCCACAGGAATATGATAACTATAAATTCATAATATCACAATAAGAACTTTACACAAAATTATTAATAATACCTTAAGAAAAATTCAGATAAGGCAAACTAGTAGGCTCATTTTAACAATTGAAAGATGCTGTTTATCATTGGATCTTTTCCCAAAATTAGATAAACCACTGGGGATGGGACAAACAGTATTAGTTTCAGGCTTGGAATCTAAAACATTCTTCAGAATAGTAAGCAAAATCTCTTTTTGAATACTCTTATTTAAATTAAGAAAAAAAAATCAATCCAACCTTCTAATATTTTAGCATTGGGTTCTGTGAAACTATCTTCAGCATCACTACAAACAAAAGAAATGAAATATTTTATTTTCCATGTACTTAACAGATGAAAGAATTATTAGATAATCAAAAGAGTAATGTGTCAGTTGTTTTCATTTAAAAATAAACCTGGAATGGTGTATCTCTGAGTATCCAAATCAAATAAAAACAAATGCTAAATTGACTTTTATTTGGCATTATCTGTGCCCTTTCTCTTCTCAACTGATAAAAACAATGAGAAGTATCTGCATTAGCAATCATGTATGATACATTAGTTATCAAGCAGAAAAAAAGAGGCAAGGGTGGACTAGGGACAGCTATTCCACTGGGCATCAAGTTAAACAGAGACAATCCCATAATGTTGTGTGGAAAAATAAATGCAACCAAATTATTTTTCTACTTATATCCAGTGCTTCTCCAATTATATGAAATGCTATCTTCCAGTTTTTAATAACTGAACAATTTTAGACACACTTTAGCTATCAAACTGATTTTAAGTCTACCCCTCACTTGTCCCTCTCTGTCCATTTTAGTGCCATATAACGCAGTCTTTTTTCCAATAGTCATCCTAACTTGGACTGCCTTTCTCATTTCAATCCTGCCTGTCCCTAAAGACCCACATGAAGCTCTATTACATTTATAATTTTTTTATGAATGCTCCAGTTTGCACTGCTCTCTTTTTCTTTTGGTTCTTCTTACAGAAGTGCTAAATACTAGAAGACTTACTTACTTAAGAGAGATGAACAGGAATCCTTTAGGGAAAATAGTTCAAACATTATTGCTAACCGAATGTCTGACTGTCCAACTAAAACATCCTAACACATTAGTAAATACTTGATCCAAGACAGCACTATTCTAGAAAGCAGGTATCAACATAAGGAAGTAGAGATCAGGTAACTAGAATGGGTGAGCAGATAGGAAGAAGAGGCTTAGGAAGTGACTACAGTGAGAAGTCAAGGAAGTAAAGAATGAATAAGGAGTGAGGGAAAGTATGGAGCTGAATATTTGCTCTCTCAGATTTGTACCAACCAAACCAAATCAAGGAAATTTCATTGGGTTGCTTTTGACTTATTGGTACCACATGAGTTACAGAGTAAAACTTTGCTCCATAGAGTTTTTTCAAGACTGTGCTTTTGAAAGCAGATATCAGGGCTTTCTTCTAAGACATGTCTTGGTGGATTTGAACAATCAGATAGTTGTCAATCACTGAACCATTTGTACCAATCAAGGATTCCAAAACCATAATTTACTGTTTTGGGAAATTATCTCAGATCTCTATTTTTGTATTCCTTTAATGTACCCAGCAGATGAAATCAGATCTTCTTGGTTGTATGAAGATGAACTCATAATTCTGTGTATGAAGTAATGTGTTGGTTCATTAATCATATTCTTTTCTTCTTTCTGTAAAGTGTAAATCACATATTACACACAATATATTTTGATATGTAGACTCTCACCTTATTAACATATTCTATACTTTCATCTACACTGCAATGAGATAGAGTTTTAGAATTACTTAAAAGATGGATAAGTACTGTAATTACAATTAAAATGTCCTTTTGGATATAGTGTTTTAGAAATGACTCAGTGAAAATTTTAATTATGATATTGGATTTTGCCTAGATTTAAAGATAAATCTATCACAATATCTGAAAAATACAACATTCTGTTTCTGTTTCTTAAGATTTTTTTTAATGATTCATTTTTACTGAATTCAAAAATTTAAATAACTATTGTGATGTATGTTATTGACATAAAAAAGAGGCTTTTATAATTAGGATAATTGTTCATATAGTCCATTTTGATATTTACCAATGATACAGAATAACATTTCTTTAGCTATCTATGAAGTCAGCATTTCTGATCATGCTACAAAAGGTATTTAGTCATAAAATCACACACGATTTAGCAACAAATAGATTAGACTAAGACTATGCGTTAAGATAAATAACCTAGAAAATCTGTGAACTGTCTAAAATTGTATCTCTGGTTCACCTCAGCTTTTGTGTCAGCCAGGGAAACATTTCAAATGAATAATCAAGGAAATCATGTCACCAAGACATATTAAATGCTATGGATTTTCCAAAAACATGATATAGCACAGATTTTGGGACAAGGAAACTCAAAGTGTTATTGATATGTTGTTGTTGTTGTTGTAAAGTGCCGTCGAGTCAATTCCGACCCATAGCAACCCTGCATAGGGTTTCCAAGGAGCAGCTGGTGAGCTTGAACCACTGACTTTGCAGTTCAAATGACTTTGCAGTCTGACGCATTAACCCACAGCGCCACACCAGTTGCTGTAATCAGTAACACAGGTATGTATTACTGATACACATACCATCAATTAAGGAGCCTGGAACCAGGATAAAACTTGTACATTATGAAGACAGTGGGTTTTATGGGATAATTACAAAGGTGATATTTGAAATATTTTTATTAACTTGGCTAGGTTGGGTAAGTTGGCTAATTAAAACAAAACTTGCAAAAAGAAAATCAGAACCTATGAAAAGTGGAAACCTGTCAGAGAAGGAAAATGCAATGGGTGTTTATGAGTTATGATTCTTAATAGAGAGTAATGACAAAGTGGTACCATGTCAAAGGTATGAAACTTATAAAACCTGGGAAAACATTTTTTTGTGTGTGTGTTTTTTTTTTTCGTAAAAAAAAAGGCAGTATCAGCAAATTCTGACTATTAAGTTTCACTGTAACTTTTAAGAATAAAATGTATGTAACTTTCCAAAAATTACCCAGTTATTAAGTGAAAGTCAGGATTCAAACTCAGAAATATGAATTCTGCCTCAGGCCAACAAAATGCAGCCAAAGCACCAGAGTCTATTGTTTTAAACAGATGGTATTCTTTTCTCTTAACTGGTTTCTACTTTCTGTTTGATTTGTGCTTCTAATTAATCTATGTCTCTTTTCATTATCTGCTTCTCCCTAATTGAAGTTCATTACTTTACCTCTTAGTTATTTTTCTTATACTGTAAATTTCACCAGCTTTATGAGGGATAGCCTAGATTCATTTTAGTACTCCTTTCTGCCTAGATAAGGTGCATTTTTAGCACAGAATTTATAAAGTTCTCTACCCTTTCCACATATATCTAGTAACTGACAATCTTTTCTCACTTACAATATGCTGTGGCTTTTTCTCCAAAAAATAATTTGTTTCAGTCCAAGGTGATGAGCAGGTGGCCATGTCAAGCTCAGCAACAGCTTTTTTAACTTGTTCCTCCTTAGATTCTGTTATCTGATTTGAACTTGATTCAATACTTCCGCTATTTGTACTGTTTATGGGCTGACAACACTTGCTTATAGACAAAAATTTTTTCAGACTATTTGAGCTTAATGTTGGCTTGGGGGAAACAACTTTGCTTTCTACTGGCTTCGTGAATTCTTTCACGTCATCTTCAATATTTTCTTTGCTGAATCCTCCTTGTACAGCAACCTCTCGTAAAACGACTTCATCTTCATTTTCTCTGTTACTTTCTGAATATTCTTGCTCAATATCATGTGCTACTAATCGAATGATAAGGTCTTGTTTGTTCTGAACATCTTTTAAAAGCTCCACCTTTGTAATATCAGGCTTTCTTATATTCTGAAATGAATTTCTGCCAACAGCCTGGAATTTAACATAAAATATTCAAAACAAGTGCCTCAATCATTTTTATTTGTGCTCTATTGTAATAAATAATTTAAATATCATTTCAAATTTCAATATGTAACATTATCTATAGAGAGCATATTTAAAAGTAGAGACAAATGAGTATTATATCAAATATTTGTTTGTTTCTATAATTTCTTTTACATTCAGAGACAATACTAATTTACTACAAATAGTCCAAAAAAGCAAAGGGTTGTTTAACATAGGTTCTTCATTTTGCTAAAATGTTACATTTTGGTGCAAAATAATTTGATTACTTTCTACTTTTGTCATTTACCTTAAAAGCTTCATCAAAAAAGTAGACAGGATAATATAACTTTCTAAGATCATATATTGTTGTTCTTAAGTGCCATCAAGTTGGTTCTGACCAACAGTGACACTGTAAAGAGTTTCCGAGAAGTTGCTGGTAAGTTTGAACCACTGACCTTGCAGTCAAGAGCTTATCCTACAGCACCACAACAGGACTCCAGATCCTACATAGGGAATCATAAAGTAATTGAAATGCAGATATTTTCAAGAAAAAAGGCAAGGGTTACCTAACTTTGGTTTCAAAAATTGTTAATAATAGCCAAGTTGTGAAGGCTTTTGAATCTTTATACCCTATCTCTACACTTTTGATCCTTTGAACAAGTTTTCCCAAAGAAGTTTCAAAACACATAACCATTTCTTTTCATCTCATGCTGTGTCACTGTAGAGTCCTGGAGTGGCACTATAGGGTAAGTACTAGACTGCTAATGTAAGGGCTGCAGTTCAAACCCACCAGTTGCTCTTAGGGAACTCTCTATAGGGTCACTATGAGTCAGAATTGACTGGATGAGTAGTAACAAACTTATTAAATTAAATGTCATTTCGTCTTTTTCAGTCTTAAAGAGAGATCAAGGAAAAGACAATGATTAAGCAATGTAATTTCCCCATTTTTTTCATTTGTTGCTGATGTTACGGGGTCCCTAAATTAATGCCAGTTAGTAATCTTGATGTTAATATCTATTTGTAGCACCATAATATATTTTCTTTCAGCTAGTGGTTTCCTAAAATAATATCTTTTGTGGAAAACAACAAGTATGAAAAAGCTCCTTAAAGAATGAAAGCATAATGAGCTAGAAAACAGTAAAAAACCAACAGGACAAGAAGCTGGGTCTTTGAGAGGATTAATAAAATTGAAAACCATTGACAAATGTAACAAAAGAAAACAGGGGAAAGACACAAATAACACGCATAAGAAACACATGGGTGATGTCACAACAGTATCAATAGAAATAAAAAGGACAACAATAGAATATTATTAATAGCTATACTCCAAAAAAATTTGAAAACCTAGAGGAGATAAAAACATTTTTAGAAAAGTATGACCTGCCTAAACTTACACAAAGTGAACAAAAGAAGAAATTGATCAGGTCATCAAAAACTCTCAACAAAAAAAAGTCCAGGTCCAGTTGGCTTCACTAGTGACTTATACCAAGTATTTGGGGAAAAGCTGTCACCA